CCCGGCAGCCGCGGGAGCAAACGGCGCCAAGCAGAGCATGTAAGCGGTTTACGAGTCGTTTTCCATGAGACCTAGGCCGACAAAGAGCCTCCCTGTCATTACCATCCAAAACCTCGAGTGGCAAAAACGCAACCCCCCTCCTCCTCCCCCCCCGCCCCCCCTCACAGAGGGACTGAAACAAAAGGCTCTCTGGGGAGGGACTTTCGTGATAAAAAAACTACCACATTGGTCAAAAACACACACGCTGGGGCACTTGTTTGCAAAAGAAGCAAAGCTTGTGTACCGCGATGTTACTCTGCATAAGACTAGCGCCCACGTGCCTTTCTGACTCATCTCATGTTCCAAACACTTTCGACATGAGAGGACCAGGGAAACTGCAGAATGGTTCTTGTAGTCGATATGGACCCGAGTTCCTGCAAATCGGGGGCAGCAGGGCTCGCACATGATATATACTATCCCGGCGCTTTCAACCGAACGGGTCCGTCCTTTCTTGTCATGGTTCTTCCAAAGGTCCGTGCCGTAGGTGCACGAGGCAGGCGCTTGCTGGGCGGGATCAGCTCCCTCCCCTACCACCCACTCGATAACCCGGAAGTACGGATCGAAGGCCTCTGAAGAAATGCCAGCCAGGGCAGCTTTCCTGTAGCAGAGAGTGTGCCCGAATTGCCCGACACACCTTCACGGATCCCTTGCATGAACAGAGTCACCTCACCAACATGTGCCGATTCACCCCATCCCCTGACTGATGATTTACTGCACTCCCCTTAACATCAACATATCCAAATTCTGGCTCTTTCGACCTCCCAGATCCAATCTGCCTAGAAAGCCTGGGTTTTGTGTTCCCTTGCGCCAGGCATGGCCCTGCGCATGCTGGCTTCGCGGGGGACGATTTTCTATATAACAGGGGGAAGGGGTTCGAAGATCCTTTCAGCAACCCGTGTTTGGGACTCGTGCTGAAGCCGAGGCCCAAACCAATCTACCAAGAATCTGCAGCGGGGTTATCTTGTCATCCTCGTGAATGGACAGCCAAGGGAAGTTTGGCGGAGTGAAAGCTTGCAAGTTCTCCAGCTCCCCTGTGTCCTTTGCTTGTGACAGAGAAAAATTAGATAATCATAGATATAGGAAGCCTTTTGACAGCTGCAAGCAACTGAAGGGCAAAAAAGGCTACTCCTTGCGATTTCCCGGCGTCCAAAAGTGACCACACCACATTGTCGGGGCTCGCTTTCATGATGCTTGCTTGAACCAGTCGCGCAAGCAATGTCGGACAAGAAAAGAAAGAGCACCACTGCATGCACTCTCAACCGCACGCCGAATCTCTGCTAGCCCGGAAGGGGAACATAGAATCTAAGCGCGAACTGTGCTCACGCTCAGCTCAGGGCGACCAAAGGCAGAGTACATCACAATGCAGACTGAGACCTTCATAGGCAAGTGCAAGGCTTCGCAAAGTCACACAGTGTCCTAGATTCTTAGCAGCCATAGCAAGGCTGTTGACTTTTGTTGGGCCGCACTGTGCTTGCAGCATGATTAGCTGGGGCAGGATGCCCTGCATCCTGCTAAGACGAACCCTACCGAAGCCTCAGCATACTGAGTGCTCTGCTAGCAAGGCCTTCCCAAAAAGGTCACGATTGAAAGGAATCTGCCTGCGAGCTTCAGCCGTGCTTTGATTTTGTGTATCATCCAGTGCTGCATCCGGTCTCTGATTAAGGCAGCAGCAAGTACACCAAGGATACATAGACAAAGACCCACGCCTGGGCACGGCGCACCCTCTCTCTCTCACACGTGCACACAAATCTCTTGAGAAGGATTACAAGTTTACAATTGCGCCCGGTTGAATCTGGCGCTGCTGCAATGAAAGTCAGCACAACTTCCAGAACCATGCGGGACATGTGGTGGCACCTGAAGCCGCAGGGCATGCATCCGTTTGCCGATGCTTCAAGAACAGGGATCTGAGAATCTGGCATCCAGCAGTAGATCAGAATGACCACCGAGAGTAGAGGGACCTGGAAGAGCCATTTTATCAGGCCGAAATTTAAGGTGACCTTCATGGTCCCTTATGCAGGGTCCCTGGTTTCACGTCACTCGTGTAATCTCGCGTACACAGGCCCCGGCTCCAATAACGATGGCAAGGAGCGGGACCACGGAGGTGAGAGCCAGCAAGCCCGATGGGTCGTCCTCTCAGTTTCAGCCGCTGCGGGTCAGGGTTTAGGCTTTGGGCTTTACAGGGTTTAGGGTTTAGAGCTCTATTGAAACCACCGGACAGGGCCTGAGATCCGAAGCGGAGTAGCGAGCTTCCGCCATCCGATCCCTCGAGTGCTACGACTGTGCTGGTGGGCAGACGTATGATGAAGGGCCATGTAGGGGCTACAGCAAGCTCCGGGGCCTGTGCATCTGAAACGGCCTCACCCATCCAGGCTTTGAAGTTGCACCGAAAGAGCCCAAGTGCCAAGAGCTGAAAAAGAACTGATGGACACACCGGACAAGCTTGGCACCGATTCAAAGGTCGATGCGCCCGAAGCCACGAGGTCAGGCCTGCACAGGTGCTCGAGTCTTCCCTCGACGCGTCGAAAATCAGAGACCGCAGCATCTGAGGGAGCCACCCGAAGCGCAACAAAGCGGGATAAAACCTTTCATTGCCAGGCACATTTCATACCGAAGCAGCCTGGCAGTCCAACACTCGCTGCCGCATCATGTGCTCACGCTCTAAGCGGCTGCGGCTGAGGACTGCACGCAAAGACCATGAGTGTCCCAAGGTAGAAGAACATGAGCGCAACGAAGCTCTCGAACCACTCATCCAGCACCTGAGTGCTGGCAATCGGGTGATGCAAAGGGGCGTAAAGTATTGTGCCCCGACTCTGCCCCATTTGTTGGCAACCCGCCTTGCGCATCGTCCGCACCCAGCAAATCTCCGACCTGACGCACCCTAACACTAAAAACTTTTGGACCTCCTAGACTTTTGCAACCCTGAACTCGAGAACTGCCAAGGTCCCGGGCGCTGCCACCAGTAACGCAGAGACCACTTGGATCAGCAGCGGAGAGGCGGAGTGCAAGATTAGCAGCCTCAGAATCACACTCAACACTCTCAACTCTGCTGCTGAAATAAAAGATGAAGCCCGTGAAGCATCAGGGATAGAGGACCAGGCAGTGTGCAAGCCGGCTTCTTGCTTGTACGGCTTGTTTGGGGCAGGCACAGAATCGACCGAATGGAGCTTATCACTGCATGGCGTGATCGAACTCTGAACAACGGGGCCCCTTTTGAATGTCATCATGTGCCCCGCGTGAAACATCTCGTCTGCCCAAGTAGGGGAAATTTTACCCACACGAGCCCCCTTCTGGGATCATGACCAGTTGCCAAGGGCCACCAGCAGCACAGCGACCTCGGGAGTGTTGCTAAGCGCTGTATCTTGAGAAGCTACCGACTCATCAGTATTTCAGGTCAGGGCCATTCTACTCCAGTTGCCAGTTAAATACCAGGCGGCTGATACTACAAGGTGGGACTGCAGTGCTTGGGCAGACAATGAGTGACTTGCCAAGAGAAGCCAGCGCTGGGAGAGGATCCTGTCCCACGTTGCCACGATAAGAGTATATAAGAGTGAGTGGGAACATAATGAAGCTTCAGCATCGGGGAAGGGGGGGTGCTCCCATTGCTTGGTCCACAAATATGTGATCGGCACTTCAGGTTCAGAAAACTTTCGGCCTTGCCAGACCCAGCGAGATGTAGACCGTCGCCTGCGTAGCCAAAAGCTCACTGGGTCTCCGGAGTCTTGCGAAGCATGCGAAGCATGCGAAGCTCACACACCAAGCCCCAGGCTCCAAAGCCCAAACCTCAAAAGGGCTTTTGGGCTTTGTGGTCATTGGGTCAAGTCCACCAGGGTGAAAGCAGTTGGGACTTTGGGACATTCCGCTCTCACTCACTGATTTCAGGGGGAGCTTCTCACTTCTCAACCCTGGCATTCTGGGGTGCCAGGCGCCCTGTGGCAGCACACGCCGTGCTGGCACCTCCGAACAGCCCCGCGGCGACCAGAAGTCGGAAGGCGTCGGGGACCTGCGCATCAAAGCATGGCATGAAGGTGCCAAGGCCCCTCAGGTGGACCGAAGCTCCGTCATCAACATGCTGTACAGCGACAGAGCCTCTGGAGGGGGTAGGCAAATCTGACAACTCAGTCGATGAAGGCCTCATGCAGGCAGCTATACAAGCGAACCATGAATGTCAAAACACGAAAAAACCTGAAACAAAACTGAGCTCAGGGAACCTAGGGGACCTGAGGGACGCACAGGTGATGATCGCGAAGCGGCAGCGCGCCCAAGTGAGGCCCTGGTTGCCAGGTATACCTGGCACCTTCGACACGTGCTGGAAAGATTGCCGCATGACACAAAAAAGTGCACCCAATTTCCAAACCTCATCTAAAGATTGTCTATAAAGTATGAGAAAATATTCCCACGAAGACTTTGCTGAAAGCGATCGGGGCCTCCCACAGATCCATTCCCTGCACCGGACATTCTGAGATGACAAAAGCACATATCTCCAACTCAGCAAAACGCGCTCCTCCATCTGAGTTCTTCAGCTGGGCACCATGACTATCCGAAGCTGTCATAGGCTTTCTATTTCCAACCGATGGCGAGGTGACGACGTGCTGACTACTTGGGGGATGTCGGCCCAGGCATTGTGACGATGCAGTCTTGTAATGTCTTGCAAAGCGTCAGATCGGGAAACGTTCGGCGCCCCCTGTGCATGCTGGGCTGGGGATTGCTTGGATGTGGACTACCTTAGATGGATGACTTGTCGAGCTGAACTAGTGGCCCTCGAAATTTCTGAGTCGGTTCATGACTGATTACAGTGGTGACGGGGATGCTCCTCCTCGGGCATGCCTGATCTTCACACACCTTCTAATCAAAACACGTCCGCGGCGAAGCTTGAGCAAAACGTCCCCAGCAGCAGCAGGAAAACGTCCCCAGCAGCAAGGCTTGCCGATGCTGACACTTGCTGAAGGCTCAGAAATGCCGTCCTTATTCAGGGCGTAGAGCGTGGAGAACTTCAGCGCCAGATTTTTGGCATCCAAGAAGCCCTCTGACCTGATGGTCCCACGAGGTGTGCAGACGCAGAGGCCCTCATAGAATCGAATGCCATACTTGGAGGTTCAGGGTACTTATAACCCAATAATAAGTGTAGTTAGAACCCACTTAGAAGCCCCTGAAGTCTTCTAATAGGGTTAGAATTGGGTCATGAGTACAGATATAATTGGGTTACGAAGTACCATGAACCTCCAAGTATGCAACTGAGACCTTGGCATGAACATGTTCTCCATGATGAGCATGAAGTCCGGTACCATGACTGTGATCGGTCTGAACAGCGCCTAAAAGAGTTGCGCTGTCGCTCTCTATCCTTACCCGCTACCACAGGTGTTTCCAGAGCCTTCAATCCCTCAGGCAGCTCCGACCGGCCCAGGTAACCAGGGTTCATGGTGATGAATACGCCGACCTCAGCAAAGACACATCATGACACATCCCTTTTGCGAGTACTATTGCTTCCCTCTCCAAGCATCGCACTCCCCTGTCCAGGTGTATCTCATCGCCTTGAAGGAAGAACCGATCCAGCTTGTTTCGCAGCGCATCACACACGGCCTGGCAAATGCTGCTGCAGAGTCTTCCATTGACTCCCAAGGCGTACCATTGGAACTCACATTATGGCGGTATCTTCACAGAAACTTTCTCGGATTTGTCAACATGCGTTTTGCCCTCGACATTACTCGGCATGTCTCGACTGCAGACTGCACCGCCTGCACACTCAGAATCGCGACCGTCATTGGTACACGCTTGCTTCACCATGCAAAGCGCTGGTTTCGCGCAACGGCTCTCAAGCGCAAACATGCGCAAACTCTGCGGCATGGGCGGTTCAACTAGGCAGGCTGCTGCGACAGATGCGATGTGTCGTGACATCACGAGGTGAAACTCACAGGCTACGGACCACATCACTGCGATTGCCCATCCACGAAGGAAGCCTGACACATGAATGGTTATCGCAGATTTTGGAGGCAATTGCCACGGCAACTGCACCCAAAGAATGAAAGTGGCACTCAGGGAAGTGAGAAGAGCGTTGCGGCCAATACCTTGCTAGGTACGCACATCAGAATGCAGCGTGGCGCGCCTCAGCTTGCTTTGGTCGATTCGCCTTGACTTGAGCAGAGGAATCTCTCAAACATCGGGCATGGGGGCGGGGGGGGGGGCGGGGGAGGTTCGCGAATTTGCAGGTCTTTCTGCCACCTTTGGCAGGACACCGGAACGCTGAGAGCCGTGGAACACTCTTGAGCTGAGTCACCGCAGCGAGACATTGGCATTATTGAACTTCGAGTAGTTCTTCGCCTTCGGACTGGATTTACCAGATCGGTGCCCACCCCACTGACACAAGTAGTGAACCACATTCATATACCCAATCTCTTCAACAGGATAGACTAGACCACGCGAAGGCTATGCTAAAACCCCTGACACGGACTTCGGAAGGCGGAATGAGTCGTGTACTGCGAGACTTCGGTGCTTAAGCCTAGCGCTTAATAGCCGAGAGACTGAGATGTTGTTGAAGGACGAAGAGTTTTCAGGTGCGGGTCTGCAGTCGGGATCCGCTTCCCGAATCCAGATATCCTCGACATGCTCGGCGGATTGATCTCCGAAGTCGAAGGTCGTGTAGAACTTGCCTTATTCAGGGAGCAGGGAAGCTTCTCTGTTTATGAGACAGGGCTAGACGACTGTAAGCTCATCTTGTCGGGACCATCTGGGCCACCCAGCTAGGGGTTTAAGACAAGAGCTTAGGAGCTAGACAGTTCGGCTTCAGAACGTTAAACCCCTGCATTCCGAACTAGAAAGCAACCGATCTTCTTTGACTATTCGTCTGTACTTCAAGTCATGACCAGGAATCGAGCTGCAACGACAACTACGTCTACACTTCGTTGCATCATCACCCATCCGCTGCTTTCTTGAAACTTACTCACCATCCGAAGCCCCATACATCCCCATACCAGCACACGCTGTCAACCACGAGTGAGGCCGCGCTTTGAGCGCCGGCAGCGCGAAGATATGGATCACCGAAACCCTGAGCCATTCATTGAACCAAGGGGCGGAAGAAGGGCAAGCCCATGATCCAAAGGTCCCCAGCATCAGATTGTGACTCCCCAGTGTCCATCATGAGCAGCTGGCACTCATGAACCTGTACCACGCACTGCACATGTCTGCTCAATGGCATTAGTGATAGGGTGACTACACACAGGACCTTGATGAAAGGCTTCTGCTTGAAGATCAGGCGCCAGGGTGCCGGCATAATGCCTGCCACTGACGCGCATGACTTCGGGGGTAGCGCACGCTTTTGCTCGGAGCTTTGCTAATTCATCATGCGCTCTGCAAGGCCGCCGGTCTTGCAGACTGGGAGGGGCAGCGAACCATGAGGAATGTGCTCCTACCCTACTCCGCGCCCACATGCACCGCATCTTACAGCCCAAGAAACACACCACCCAGCCGAGCCTGTTACGAAGCCGATGTAGGAATCAGGTGGCAGAGATATGGTCTGCCCCCCCAGATCAAACTCCAGATGGGGCAGCGTCTCCTGTAAGAAAGTGATGAACCATCGCAACGCAGCAACGAGCGGGGGGCTCCAGTCTTGGCTCATCCGTCCTCCTTGGCGCAGTTCGCTCCAATGGCTTCCTCAGCTTCACGCTGAGATTCAACTTGGGGGCTCTACGACAAAAGGGGACCCCTAACATAAACCCCAAATAGTAGGATCCCGGGATCCCTTAGAATAAGGACCCCAACAAGGTACCCGGCCGGTACCCACAATATCGCCAACCCCCATATTCACGAGTGCCGAAGCTTCAGCGACTTGGTACTACCTTTCCTGGAAAGTCTCAGATCGCATAGCAGCCAAGCGTCTAGCAGCCGGCCAACGGCCTGCCGGTCACGGGGTCACGGTTGGGATTTCCCAGCGCATGACACCCCCCAAACAGTCCCCAGCTTTGGATTCGTGCCAAGGCTCCCGGATAGTTGTGCTTGGACCCGAGATGAGGGATGTACCGGTGTCCAGGATGGCCCCGCAGCCATTCTCACAACCAACCTTCATGGGGCACTTTCTCGCGCCCCCTAGGGGCGTTTTTCAGGATTTTTGATGACTCCCTGTTTGCTGCCAAAGGAGCTGTATGGGACGAGCCGTCCTTCTGCACCAGCCGCACATTCTTGAGGCTGAGGCCCCAGGTCACAGCACCGATCACCGACAGCCTGGAAATGCAGCAGACATGCCGGAGGCTTCTTTTAAATCAGTGTCCCTTGATGTCCCTATTTGGGGGGGGGGGGGGCTTTAGAGATAAGAGGCTCGATTTTGGAACAAGGTCGCTGTGGGAAAAGTGGCCCCCAATGTAGAACAAGCCCCGCATGTTCTACTTAAGCGGCACATGTCCCAGCATGGAGAGCCAGCATGAACATCAATCGTGTAAAGAGAATGCATGTAAAAAACCCGGACATACCTCCAGATGCAGCATTCAATAGCCCAGGTCGGTGCTGTCTGAGTCTCTAGCCAGGCGCGTTCAGAGCTTAGAGTCTTACAGCCCCTGAACCCTTAACACACCCCAAGGCCCCCAACCCGGAACCCTCAAAACCCTACAAACCAAGACGGCAACATGGCTGGGCTGCGACTAGTAACCTTGGTTCACCTTTTTTCATGGCCTCCGGAAGGGCTCCGGTCGCGATGCTGGCTCATCATCATTCCAGATCATGTAGCCCTTGGAGCCTGCAAATGCAACAAGAAATCCTTACTGCTGCTGGCAGTGTGTCGGTGTAAGTAATATCATACTGGCAGCACAGCGCAGTGAATCTTAATGTACTCTAAAGCATGGCGTGACATCAGGGAGCAGCTGCGCCGGCCTGTGGCTGCCCCGAAGCAGACTGACATGTAGCGCATGTGTAGGTTTTGCGGGACGCTGTCGTCCAGGTTTTCCTGTCGCGAGTTGGCAGTTGAAGGATGTAGCTCGCTGCTACAATCAGTGCCTCAGAACCTTTTCCAGAGGTGAGCCGAACTTGCAAAGCAGGCGTCCAGCATTGTATCTGCCGAAATCTTCTCTTCAATACGGCTCTTGAGGCCTTGGGCCAAGAAAGCACGTGAGGGAAGCAGCAGGAAGCCAGCGGCCACAAGCCACCAGCCACAACGTGTCACAATGGCATGAGCAAGTCCTGAAAATTCTACGCTCGCTCTGCAGATTCTAAGCGCCACGCGGGCTGGCACGATGGCGCCCCAGCCCTTCAGGGGCAACGACATGTAGCCATAAGAATACCGTAAGCATGGCGCACGGCCATGCAAACCATGCACCCATGCAGGAGGACTTTATCCTAAGCCGATGGCAACCAATATACTAGCGCAGAGGACGGGAGCCTTCAGTTTCTCTTCGATCTTCTCCAGCTGCTCACGATCCATCTCCGCCTGCTTCTTCACAGCCGCGGGCGGGCCCAATCCTGCCAAACTGCGAACTTCTTGGCGTACGCACAAGCAAAAAGGGAGCAGCTGTCCTAGAATGGCTTGGAAGTCCGCTGTCCCTAGGATGCCCATGTCGGCTTCCATCACGAGCCACCTCACAAGGACTTCAGTGACTTGGGGATTGCGGCACTGGAACAAAGAGGCAGCTTGGGCACATGGGCTGCTTTTCGACTGCAAGTGGTCCTGCCGATGTTGGCCAACAGCCAGCAGCCACTGCAACTGCCAATAGGCAGAGCGGTAGAGTCCTATTTGCAGCTCATCCGTAGCATCCCTGCACAGCCTGCCACAAGCAGAAAACGCTTCAGTATCAGCGAATGCAACCTGGCATCTGGGCTCCTTAAGGCAACTAACATCACACCCACAGCTTGAAGCAAAGCCCCTGTTAGGCTTTGGGGCCCTAGAGTGCAGATCTTTTAACACTAATCTTCCATGGATGCTAGATGTAGATCTTCCCTGTGAATGAAACAACCTTGTCAAGCCCCACCCTAAACCCTGCACCCCAATAAGCCTTTGCCCCCTAAACCGTAAACCATTCAACCTCTCAACCCCCTAAACCACCCAAAACCCTGAATCTTCGTCTTTGACATCAGGCCAGGAAACGTGTCTCCGCTGCCATAGCTGAGCTGCTGCATGAGTTTGCCGGGTCGGTAGGTCTGGCTTGACCTTTGACAGGGGCATAAACTACAATACAGGGTTTCGCTGTATTATAGGGCATGGGTGCAGGTGTCTTAGTGTCCTAAACCCTAAACCCTAAACCCTAAACCCTAAACCCTAAACCCCATCTTTAGATGTCTTTGTAGGACCTTTAGGCTCCTTAGCCTGTCAGCCACGGAACTTTGGGTCGAAGCCCTTCTCCCCAGCAGCCCCGCAGCTGCCGCAGTCGCTGGAAAAGACGACCAGCTCAAAGGAGCCCGTGTCCAGGATGGCCTGCTCCCACAAGAAGCTTGCCTATGAGATTTCACTTACTTGCAGCCCGGAGCCCTGAACCCTAAAACCTGCATGAACCCTGCATGAACCCCAAACCCGGAACCCTAGACCCTGAACTGGGAGTTTTGTTGTCGCAGGACCTTCAGCTCTTGGCCGCCGATTGAGACTGTGCCTCAGCAAACTGAGAGCAGCAGAGTCTCGCGATGCACTAGACATAAGTAGACACTCTAGACTCTCTTGGACAAGGTGCCTGTATAGGATGCATCGTCTTGGTTGTCCTGGGTGGTGCGCGTCTTGACTGCTTCAAACTGTGGGCAGATCGGCAGGTTGTCAGCCCATCTGCGATGCAAAGCTACATTGACCTGAGGCTGTTGTCTACAATGCAGCTGGGCCACCAGTGCTTGGACAAAACGTGCCTTGGTTGGACTGCCAACCTTTACCCTTTTCCGTGTCCACCTAGCATGCCATCAGCCAAGGCGCCCCACTGCGGACTGCAGCCATGTGCCCCCGCATCTGCAGGCCAACTTGGAGCAGATCAACGCAGTTCCTCAAGTCTCCGGTTCTTCAGCAGACGAGTGCTCGTTTGGCTTAGCCATCCTCTAGCGACCCTATACTGCAGAGCGATCTGGTGCTCTGGGTGACGTGCGCTGTGGAGTCGATCTCATAGAAGTCCCGGGAGACAGCAGCCTGATGGTGCTACACAAGCCAGGCATGCAGCCACAGACGGCGCAGTTTAGAGCAGCTGTGGCACCTTGGGGTGAACGGATGTCAGCAGCAAAAGCAGTGCCCATGTGGAGAGCCGAACCTTGGGAGCTGCAAAGCCAGTGTCATGTAGCAAGGGGCATACCCAAAAAAACTTCGGCGTGCAAGCAACAGCAGCCCGGCCAAGGCGCTTCGGAGCTCATCGTGGTATGCTTGATAAGAAATGAGGCTACTGGGAGGTTCTTCCCGAGCCTGAATGACCGCGGGTACTGACAGCTCACAACGAGCAGCCGTGATCATGCGAAACATTGCCCAGCACCAAACGAAGAAATGAGCCGAGACAACAAGTCTGCCCCACCACCCACCCTGAAGCCTTGACTTACATGTATGAAATCAAATATGTTCTGCATTACAACTATAGCCAACTCGATTATCTTATTAGGTGGAGGGCCTGCATGAACGCTGCTTTGTGATCTCACTCCACGTGTTCATCCTGTGTGGCTTCTACATGTCTCGGCAGCAAATCGGCACGGGCTCATTTTCAAGCTTGCTGCAACGGACGAGCCATGCCAAAACAGACGTTGGCAGAAGCTTTTGGGCAAATGCTACGTATCAGACACTAGGGCAATAGCGTGCATTTGCTCAGCTCGACAAGTAACTCTTCCTCATGGGCCCAACTGCCTTCCTTCTCGAGGCCTCTTCGCACCTCACTGAGTTCGTCCTCGGCCAGACCCAGACCCGAGTCTTCTTCAACCCAACACACTGCCGCATCGATTGCTCCCTTTTTGCTTTGGTGAGTTTGGGTGAAGGCCCCGCTGCCACAACCGAAAATCTCTGCCAACTCCCCGAAGTCTTCCATGAGCGAATCATCGTAGGGGTCGGCTGATACTCTTTCTTCAACCGCAGGGCTGCTGAATCTGACCTCCCAGAACTGTTTCGTCTTCACTGGCTCCTTCTTGGAAGTTTTTGCTGATGCACGGGCTGCGGGCACCCATATCTTCTTCTTCATGATCAAACTGGAGACCTTCTTGACGATGCGCTTTCGCGACGCTGGATCAGCCAGCAGGCGGGCTATGGCTTTTGCCGGATCTTTCTGCAACTCTTTGATTGCACGATCCATCGCACGGTCTTCTGACGGACGAGCGCTTCGCAAACATCCAAAGTTTGAAGGCAATGAACATCTCAATTGAAGATGCGATTTGTTTTCATGTGGCAAGTTGCATGGCATTCCTGATCAGAGCAAAACACCTGCAGCGCAACGGAAACCATGACATAAAGTTGCATCCAAAAAGTTCTGGGCAATATGAGATCTACTCCGATCAAAGCTTGCAGAAAGCCCTCAAAAACAACCTTGAAGACTCCACAAATCTGTGAGGGGCGGGAGGATGCTTATGCGTTGGCGACATGAAGGCCCACAGGCCTTGAACTGCACAGTGCAAACGGAAAGCACTTCTGGCACCAGCCGATTGAACTCGTCGAAGCAGCCCCACCTCAACACTATCCGCTATCCCTACTGCACCAAGCTATACCATGAATGACCGTGATTCCAGCGGTCAGCCATTCCGTCCAAAATGTTCCTGGCCGCTGAGGCCACCGCGAGCCGCTTGCAGCCAGACCCTTAAAGATGTTGCCCAGCGTTAGGTAGTCCTCAACACCGGAATATCCAGTTCCGAGCGGTGAAAGTGGATCTCGGAGCTTCTTCTTGCTACAGCTCCCATGCCACCAATGCGACAATGCGTGGCATGCCAAGTTTGGCCCAGCAGTAGCCGCCAGACTGATACACTGAGCTGTCGCACCATCTCCGGTGCCGCGTTAATCACCTGATTGGGGACAGCATCACTACAGTATTACTTGTGCTCTCATGCCTACGGCCCGCAGGAAGAGGTAGAAATGGATAGGTTCACATGACATGACGTTTTGGGGCCGAGTGGTCTGAGCTCCGCGCATAGCATGCGCGCGCCAGGGCGTTTGCCAGGTCCTCACACAAAGCCCCGCAAGAAGCTTCGCTCGGAGGCGCATTCCGAGGCACACGAGAAATCTGTGGCTGTCCTTTGTACTCTCAGTCTTGCCCGTGCCGGCTGGTCCGGCAGGTGCACAGCCCATGTTGAGGTGCAAGGCCTGACATGCTTCAATGGTAAGAGGGAGTCTTGTCTGCAAGGTAAACTGGTTTCCTGCGTGGCAGTGACGTAGATGCGGTCTGTCAGGGGCGTGACCACCAGGCGTGGTCCATTTCCCAAGTATTCGTAGGCATACCTGTGCTGATCCAAAGGCACACACAAGCGACTCTGCATTGCTGCTGACAGTGCTGCTTCCCCTCACACTAACATTCTGCTGGACAAAAAAGAAAGGCGTACAGTACTGTACGGCACACCAAGAAGTGGCGAAAAATAGAACTGCAGCTAGCATCCGATGGGTTGCCACTAAAGAAGGAGCAATGTCGTGCTCGGTTTAGTGTTAGGCCCCCCCCATCCAAAAAAACATTCGCAAAAGAAGTCAGACGCAAAATGATCCAGGCTTCTAGGGCTGAGAGGCCTGAGGCCTTGAAGCTTCAGGCCTTAAAGCTGAAAGGCACCAGGCCTCCGAACTATTCCGGCTCACCGGAGCAACATACGACAAGTAAAGTGCACGAGTGCAGCTCGTGGGCTACGCTTTCGAACATTGTGGTTCCTAGCGTGTTTGTTAAGAAATTCATAGGAAGCCCGGGTCCATAAAACGTTAGGAACCTGAAGCTTCAGGCTTTTGAGGCTTCTAGGGGCCTGAGGCCTCGAAGTTTCAGGCCTTCGGGCTCAAGCAATTCAGGCCTTCCTTCCTTCTGTTGTTTTGTCAGGGCCCGGCGCCGAAGCTTGGCCCTGTTTCGGGCAACCCAAAATCAACTGGGGTTGCAGAATAATGGGACACTTCGCACAACCGTGGGCCCTAACCCCTACGCCCTAAACCCCCAAACCCTCACTCTCCTGGTAAGAATGGTAAGAAAAGACGGAGCACCAAATGCGAGCATCGCAGATCTGCATCTGTGCTGTGCCCTCGCCAGGGGTGTCCTGCAAGAGTTTTGGGTTTAGGACTTTAGGGGTGCAGGGAGCTCCCCTGGGATGGCCCATGAAACCCTCTGACAAATACTACTCCTGAATATGATCCTCTTAAACCCAAGAAAGGAAAATGCAAAATGTCCCAAGGGCCTACCTAGTCCTAGTTCCACGAATCAACAGGGTCCAGAATCCAGTAGCACTTCAGCATGCTCTGCCACCTGCAGAACTCCGCCCCGCGCGGCGATTGTGAGGAAGAGTACGTGCTGCCTCCCGTGTCACCCTAGTCTGAGCCCGTCGCTGGAAAGCATCGGCCGATGTGACTCTGTCTTTGACCAAACGCTCCTGTTCACGGCTCACCGGCAGTCTGAAAGAGCCCATCGCGCAGTCTGAGAGTCAAGGTATCTATAAATATCACACAGACCGTCCTGAACATCGCGATTGTGGGCATCCAAAGTGATGGCACACATGACCTTAAGATGCACAAGCTACTATAGTTTACGTCAGCCAGGTGTCAGAGACTGCTTGCTGTGATCGGCGGCCTTCTGCCGGTCGGGCTTGGTGAGGTCCGTCTGCGTCAGGCGGATGAGGTCGAGGAGGAGTTCTGCAGGTCCAGACTTCGTGCCGCAGCAAAAACCCCACACACATGGGCAGCTTGCGCATGGCTGGAGTCATGGCTGGCCTTGCTGCTTCTTCCAGGCTTCCATCACCTGAAGCTCGAGACCATTATGAGATGGTAACGTGAAGCGCACGCAGTGCACCTTCTGCTCCACTTCCTCTGCAACCTCGTCATCGTCATCAGGATCAGGTGGTACCTCGCCGCGAACACGCAGGCACCCACCTTTGGCCCTCTTCCCTCCTCAACATCTTGGCCCAGATGTTGTCGACTGCCCTCAACACGCTCTTGTGCTTCAGGTGTACCTCCCTGACTGACACAGCCCTTAAACGAACGCCTCTTTTGCAAGCATGCCAACCAAACATGCAGCAGACCATGTAAGGGCGACACCTGAAATGCACCTTCGACGAGTTGGACCCACGTGATCAGCTGCACCAGCAACGCACCCTGCGCCGCCTTTCGGTAGAGTCCCGAGATGTGACACACGAACTGATGCGAGTGTCGTGGAGTCAGGGTCTACAGGCGCAGTCATGCTGAGTGGCGTGCTTTCACCTCCAAAAGCCACCTACCACGGGCAACGCCGTCTGCCTGGAGTGGTACACGCCACGTTTGTGCCCATGGCACCGTGCAGGCTGCGGCAGGCTCACATCTCATCCCTCGAGCCTCGCAGTCCTGCTCTGCATAGCTGCGCAGGTCTCGGATGGCGAAGTGCCGCAGAGCTCCACGGAAGGCCTCTGTTCCCTAACTCGGCTAGGAATTCTGCGCCGCGTTACTTGAATTTCACAAACCTATAGTTGTTTCGGCATCCGGGGAAACCCCGAACCAGCGGCTGCGAATTCAACACCTGAGGGCTGTGAAAATCCACACCTGAGGGATGGGGAATTCTCGCGATTCTAGCCGCATTCTAGCCGATTCTAGCCGACCTTTTCCACAGTCAGTTAGAGAGGTCATGAACGGCTGACAAGCGCGATCAAGCGCGTCTTCCAATCTTGAAGCCCCCAACCGTGTCCCACAATATGCAACAGGCACGAGCCTCGATGCATCGCTCCAAATAGACCTCGACCTGCGGGCCCGTGATGGTTGAACGGCGCCGCACTTCTTGACTCACCCTGCTGCATTGTACATACAGCAGTAGCTCAGTAGTAGCTGTTATTACCCATAGCAGGAGGCACGGGCAGCCTTCCCGTTCAGCAATAGCGGTTCTGGAAAGGGAACAAACTCCTGGATGCCGCGGTCAGAAGCTCGCCGGCCACTCCAGTCCTACACGTCTTGTGCACGGAGTCCTTGCCGATGCACGCGTGCATGCCAGTCGCCACCGGTCGCGTCCCAGGGCCATCAGGGTACTCCAAATCATACCTGCCATTCATGTCGCTTGTCTCAGATGCTTCAGCACGACGGAGCGGAGCTGGTAGCAGCTTGGGCGCTCGCTTCTCGATTGCGTTGAAGAACTTGGGAAACTGAGGCACGACACGTGCAGGATTGTTCCTGGCTGCACACTACCACTGTCGTCTGCAGCATGAGAAGCGCATGAGACCGGGTGAAAAGCAGCTTGCACATCGAGATCATCTCAGCAGTAGCTCAACTGTGCTCAGCATGTTTCTCCACCAAGCTGGGCCCTTTGTCAAATGCTCAAACGCCACTACGCAACTACGCAAACGTGGCTTGCTGGACCCATTGCTCAGGACATCCAGCAAGTTGGCAGAAGACATAAAGTAGAACCGAGGGAACGCTTGACCTGAGCTTGCAGTATCCTGCACAGCCAGAGTCCAATGATTTGCCTTCATGTTCCTCTTGGCCTCAGACGTTTTCCATCCATGAACTCATTCAGAGCCTGGTCAAGTTGGGCTTGGGAAACTTGACCACAAGTCTAGCAAAGGCAAGCCTGGGGAGGATCTGTGCATTCACCCCTTGTGGCCTTCTCGCACATGGACAGCTGCGTCTGTGTCTTCTCCAAGATCTGGAGGGCGCAAGGCAGAGACTCCAAGCCAACTTGTGATCTTTACATCATAGCTGGGGAAGCAGGGCTCTCTCTAACCAGGCGAAGGAGTCCCGAAGAAGGAGCCTTATTTGCGAAGAGGCTCCAGAGCCCCCGGCCTGGTAGATGCCGGGATCCGCGCAGAAGACTTTGGCAAAACGTGCCTGTAAGGAACCCAACGGGGGCGTTGAAGGAGGGGATCTTAGAGAAAAGAGGACTTAGATTAATTTAGGATGTCTCGGGGTTGAACGACAGCATGCTGGTGGATGTTATACTGGTCTATTTTTGTTTTTGTATTTATTCAGATAGATGTAATTATTCAATTGTCTATTTATTGTTATGTATAAGATATATGCATCTATACATGTTTACGTACATAAAAACTTGCATACTTAATCTTTATATTCACATAAAATCACACACACACACACACACACACACATATATATATATATGTATATACATACATACAGACATACATACATACAGACACACATACATACATACATACATGCATACATACATACATACATACATATAGAGAGAGAGAGAGCGGGGATGCTTAGGAGCAAGTTGGGGGGGGGGCCTCGAAGCCGCGACGGAGAAGCTGCTTCACGTCATCATCGATCTCCAGGAATCGCTCCGACTCATCCGGTAACTCCTCTGAGACTTCTTTGTGCTCTTGTTTCTTGAATTGGGGTTGTTGTAGATTTATATCACCCTTCTGGGGTCTATTGCCATTGTCTTTCTTCCTTGTACTTTATATCTTGGGGATGTTTAGGGCACCGGGCATCGCAGAGAAGGTCTACTTGGCGCGGAGACACTGACACGGGGGGGGCGCCTTCTTGACTTCCTCGGAATGGATGAACAAGTTCTCCAAGAAATCCCAAGTGCGCAGCACCTGCACGCGCATCAACTGCCTTGTGATCATTGTTGTCATCGAAGCTGCGCATAGAGCTTTTTAATGCCATCTGAAATCTCCTAACATCGACCCCATTCAATCTCGTGCTTCGCCTCTCCCAGGAGATTCGTCGTCTCGCTGATGTTCGCCAGCGTCTTCTGCCAGCCCGCGACCTGCTGCACTAAACCACAAGAAGTTAGAGCAGTGCTCCAGCCAGGCACATCTCGAGGCCTGCGTCTCAAAAGTTGATAAGAACCGCGAAGCGAACATATTCTGCACCTGAACCTGCGTGCTTGGGGGCCCGTCATCAGTCAGTCTGCACGGGGCATGGGATCGGTACGATTCGGAAGTGCCCTATTCTTTTTGTTGGAGTCCGCAAGCCGGCAGATCTCTGGCGGACGCAGCCTCGCACCACAAGCTCCTGCAATCCCAGTGCTCTCAGCGCTTCAGACATTTGAAGGTGAGCTCCAGTGCTGAAGCAACTCCGTTTGGATGGGGGCCAGCTGCACTGTGGCCGTCAATGCGCCAGCCGAGCCGGCCACCTCGGATCTGTGAGGTGGGCTCCTTTTTCACGAAGAAGGTCAAGAAGGCCGCGGGGTCCTGTTCCGGTTCCGGTTCCTGCCGAAGCTGCCATCTGCCTGCTTCCCACTGAGGCCTCTTCCGGCAAGGGTTTCCGAGGTCTCGCTCGTCAATGCGTGGTATGCCGTGCAACACCCTCGCTGACGCCACGTGGTCCGGCTGTGGCTCGATGGCTTCGGTTGCCCATGGAATTTGCAGCAGTTTCAAGGCGAAAGCTTCACTGGCCAGATGTGCCACGCTCCTTGCACACAGCATGCAGCACGTGTAGCGTGTAGTCATGACAAGCCCGAAGTGTGGAAGTATGTCGGGGGCATTCTGAAACTGTGCTGGTACTGAGATAGGCTCCGCCAGCACGTTGATAGCCTCCCTGGCCACATCCTCCTCAGGCAGAAGCCGCAAGCAGAACTAACTTCAGGCGCACCAAGCCTGATACTGCTTACGGCTAACTTCACCCAGCAGCCGGGTTGGGAGAGAGCATCGCATCACCTCAGGACTCGCAACAAGGACAACGTGTTGCATTCGGCACCCTGAATGACCAGAGCACAACATAACAGTAGCCAAGGGTCGCATCAACACCAGAGCCAGCCCCACAAAGCGCAAGGTCATGGTAACGTTGACAAGCAAGTGGTACGTCAAGGTCTCCTCATGTCTGGTGTGTCTCGTGGGCTACCGAGGCTTCCCAGGCATTGACTATTAGTATTGCTACTATTATTATTCTTATTATTCTTATTATTCTTATTATTCTTATTATTCTTATTATTCGTATTATTCTTATTATTCTTATTATTCTTATTATTCTTATTATTCTTATTATTCTTATTATTCTTATTATTCTTATTATTCTTATTATTCTTATTATTCTTATTATTCTGCACAATAGCATCGCAATGGATCAGAAGTATTCCGCAACTTCCTTGGGCATCACCCGCTGCAACAGGCGAACGACAAGGGCGATCCCAAGACCTGCCGGGAGAGGCGCCGGACACCGTGGTTTAGGGTTTAGGGTTTAGGGTTTAGGGTTTAGGGTTTAGGGTTTAGGGTTTAGGGTTTAGGGTTTAATCCCGAGGTCTCTCCGGGCCTACTGCGAACTTGAACCAGTGCTCTTTGAGCAGGGCTGCAAGAAGCTCCTCCTGCGCAGACGTCTCAGCACATGGGTGGTTCTTGTCCCCCCCCCCTAGAAGTGCACTGATGAACCAGCAGTCCCTACAAAGGCACCCCTAGTCTAGAGCAACCCCCGGCATCTACGTTACTTGACCGTCCTGAGACAGCCATGCCAGCCATTGGGAGCTCTCTCGTCCAGCTGTGGAGGTCGGGGCCGGAATCGGGGTGCCCGGTGTGCCGGCAGCTCCGGGCTTCTTCGCCGCCAGTTCCTGGATCCAAGCCCAAGGCCCCTAAATCCACTGAATCCAGGGATGGCACCGGAAAAAAACTGGATCCCTTCATATTATGCTTAGTAGGTTCATGAAGGATTGCCTCAAAGCTTAAGGCCGTCTGGAGAAGCCCCTTTGAGGCCTGTCCTTGGCTTCGCGCCTGGACCTCAGAGCAAAGTTCCAAAAGGCTGATGGCATATGGCACCCTAACGGGCTTCGGACATATTGCAGTCAGGATGCAGCAATCGAGATCTGTGTCGCTGGCGCTTTCCCCCGATGGATTCCATGAAGAGCATCATGGCAACGACAACAAACAGATCCAGGACGAAGACGCTCACCCACATGAACTTCTCACCTTACACTTCGTATCACGCGCAGCTTGACTCTGTCGGCACCCGGACAATTCCAACATGGGTGCGCGAGCTTCAGGAATCTCATGGCATCTGACTCAACCGTGCTATGTTCATGTGGAAAAGGACCTCTGCGATCGCGCGACGCTGCGACGCGAAAACGTTCGAAGGTTCGACGTGCACACTTTGACGCAACTCGGCAACATGACGGGCATGGCATGACCAGTTCTACGTGGCAAACCTTCTGCGCTTTCTGCTCCAAGCGACCCACATGGCAAAGTCTCCCCCACCAGACGTGCCACACATCGGAGGCTCTCAGGATGGCGAGCCAGGTCTCCGGAGGCTCCCAAGGCTCCCAAGTCTCGCAAGGCTCGGAAGGCTCGGAAGGCTCCAAGACTTTGATCGGAGGAATCGTCGTCGCCGTGCTCCGATCTGAGCCTCTCAACTTCTCTGCGTGTGAGTTGCAGAACTCATGCCTGAACATCAGCAATACCATCACATACTGCCGCTGCCGCGGTGCTCAATGCTGCTCGCATGGGCAAGAAAGCCACAGGTCCAAGTCGTGCTATCTGCAAGCTTCGCAGCTTGGCGCCTTCCAGTGGTTGTAGCGACTGGGTCACATCCTGCAACACACTCACATCCAGGGACCTCAGTTGTGGAGAGGGTTTGAAGCAGGCGTCCAATACTACATTGCTATTGTCACAGTCTCTTTGAAGCATTGTTGTTACTACTATTGAATAGTGCACCAAGCGACATGACCACAGGACAAGCTGACTATTCATGCAGGACCCTCCTCCCCCACCCAAAAGCGGTCTTGCTTTTGGGAGTTGAGGGCCTGGCCTCTAGGGCTTTAGGGGGGCCTTGAAACTCTGGAGGCTCCTGGGGCGTGTTTCAGGCGTTTCGAAGCACACGACCCGCTGGAAGACGATGTCCAGATGACACCCCGGAAGCCCCGGAGTGATTGTGTCAAGATTTATGAAGAATCCGGAGACCCTGACATGTTTCTATGTTGGGCCGGACCTGGCCCTGCTAACAATGAGAAGCTGGTCCTTGCCAAGACTCTCCCTACAAAACAGGTTCTCACCTTAAGTGCATTCCAACCCTGTGAAGCCTGTACACCCCATGAGCCCTAAACTAGTGGAGTGTGATACCTGGCTCTTGAAGCCATGCGAAGCTCTCCCGGTTGCCAAGTGCTAGGTCAATTCTGCGGGACACACCCTTGGAGTGAAGAGCTCAGAATGCGGGACAGGAACATACGCAGAGTGGTTGCCAAGCGCCCAAGTAGGCGGAAGGACAGCGCCAATTGAAGCCTGAGCTTTTATAAGGCTATCGTTTCTTCACGGAGCTCCTGGTTCAGCGTTTGGCCCTGCTGGCAAGGCAACGGCAGCTTCTCAGGCAACTTCTGTGGCGGGCTGGACGATGAGCCGCTGCTAAGGTCCTGACAAGAGGGGGCTCCACACTTGAGAACGGGGGGGCAGAAAAAGGAGAACGTGCGCGGCAGTTTCTGAGTGAGGAACTGTGTGAAGATCGCAGATGGCGCCCAAAGCACTGATGGCGCCGCCGGCGGAACGAGACTTCGCAAGCTCTGGCGCAGACTCGCCCAAGACTTTGAAGATAGACTCCACCTCGTCCTAGGCACTTCACCATTTGCGGAAAAGAGAGAAAGAGAGAAAGAGAGAGAGAAAGAGAGAGAGAAAGAGAGAGAAAGAGAGAGAAAGAGAGAGAAAGAGAGAGAAAGAGAGAGAAAGAGAGAAATAGAGAGAAATAGAGAGAAAGAGAGCACGATGAGACCACGGACCAGCAGGGAGCTAGCTGAATTTTGCTGAAACTAAGGTCGAGGCATTGATTCGACCAAGAGAACCCTTCACCTTCCACCAGTCCTCACCTGCTGCTCGGTCAGTTGAACAAACTTCGGTTTTGCTTTTGTTTAGCTCTAAGGTTTAGGGGCTTCAAACGGTAATCAAGGGCTGCGCCGGGCCTAGGAGCAGCTCTCCCAGGGCATAGCCTGGCCCCAGAACCTGGCCCAAGCGTGGGGCGCGCTGTCTGGCGTGCTCATGAGTTTCGGGCCCAGGGCATCACAATCAGCGCTCCTGGTCCAAAGCGCTCGCAGCTGCCATGGACAAAGGCCACAAGAGCCTTCAAAGATTCTCTGAACTCCGGGTCGGCGCATTCCCAGATATCATGTACTGTTCTTAGGGGGAAACAATGTGGGTGGTTTCGAGAATCGGGGACCCCGATTTTTGTCCCCCAATACTAGGATTCCCTTTTTATAGGGACCCCAATGAGGTTCCCGTAATTTCGGAAACCCCCATGTAACAAGGTGCAGAATGCAGGCCAGGTCGCATGCAAGGCACGCAACCGTGCAAGCCGCCCATTCTGAGCACGCTGCTCATTGCAGAGGCCATGCGACTCTAATCCATGGATGCTAGGTAAAGCTGCCTTGCTTATCAGCTAAACTAAACCGACTCAACTGTCAAACTCCTTTGCCATGTGTCAAAGAGCCTGTCGGCCGCATGCAACACAGAAGTAATTTGCCGTGACCTGGATGTAAGCAAACAAAATCAGAAACCTGAGAAGCAAGAGGTGCAGATGTACGGCGTTGAAGACGGAATACGGGCAAAGATGCTGGGTGGTCATAGAAAAGCAGCTCACGGCACGGGGGGAGCCATGCCTGGTTCTCTTCCAGGATCTCCACATCTTCGTCGCGCAGTCGCATGAGCAGCACATCAGTGCCTGCTGCGCCAAAGTAGTCTGGGGGCATGCATGATTCCGACCTCGACCACATTCGACATTCACGGGTGATCCTAAAAAAGGCAATAGGCCATTGCCAGCCTTTGTGCTTCTCATAAACGAATTCCACTGCGGACCATATCCTGCAAGCTATGGCACAGTCATCAGGCAAGGTCTTCTTGAACAGCTACCAAGGATTCAAGTGCAACCCCACAAGTCTGCACCCCAAGTCCTGTTCAGCTTCGCAATGGTTGCTTCCATCTTTGCCCTTGGGATCAAGAAGTTCACCCTCGCTCAAGAAACTGCGTTGGATTGTAAAGTGCATCCCGTAAGACAGACACTCTTGCTTTGCTTGCTCACCGATCTCTTCCACCTCCACTCCAGATGCTTTGTGTCAACAGCACTGCTTGCAGTGTCTGCAGGGGGCATTCCATACCACTCTCTCCCGAGCTCCCTTTTCCGGCCGCTGCCACAAACCTGTGAAGTCGTCGCTGAAATCACAGGCTGTGCGCTTGCACCGCCACAGCCTCACTATCCGATCCTAGGTGCTTTCATGTACTCACCGATTTGTTTGTTCTGGACAGGTGCCATCGTCACGGTGGATCTGAGGCGAAGACAGCGCTGCCGCTGGCAATGAAACCGTCAAATGTATGCAGCGCTTGGACCGCTTCTTCAGCTCCCTTCAAGGTATGGACCACTTCCCATGCTGGCAGAAGTACCTTTGGAAAGGTGGATGGTCTACATATCGGTGATGCGTGAAGCGACAGCCGAAACACCTTCTACTTGCTCTAGTCTCTGCCGCGGGCACGATGAAAACCACATGCCCCGGGCCGCCCAGTACAATCTGGTCCTGGCCAAAACTCACCACCTCAGTTTGGGTCCGCAGCACGCTGTGCGCAGCGCTTCCCTTGGGCTTGACATGCGTCACTCTGGTGCATCTTTGAAAAATGGCCGGGAGACGTGCGTCACAACGCCAAACTTGCCAGTCGCTGAAAGCAGTTGCGACGTCTCCAGATCCCACAGCTTCAGCGACCATGGCTCCCGGATCCCAATGCCTGGATTCCAGTCTCATGGATCGCAAGGCATTGGGTGCCCTCTGTGGCGCTCGGCACTTGAAGATGCAGACGCAGTGCTTTCAGTGATCAGCGCATTGCTTGCGGACAGGCGTCGATCATAGCCGCTCGTGGCCAGCTGATCCCCCAAGCTGACAACACTGACGACACTCCCGTTGTTGGCCCGCCAGGCGCGGTCCACCTGGCAACTGCACTGCAGAAACATGCCAAGAAGACACATGGACATTCCAAGAGGCCTGGCCTGGCCAGCGGTCACGTTCCAGACGCGCACCCACCCATCATCGGAAGCCGCGATCAAAAGGTTCTGAGATGTGAAGCCAAGCGCCTGCTCTCATCCCGGGGTGTGATTGCCAGGATGGGGCGAGGATGTATGAGGATGTGGCAGTCATGTCCCGGGCGCCTGAATCATGACGTCGTCTGCCTGCAATGCTCGGTACCAGGTGTCTGATCTCCACCAGATGCCGATCAGGCCACTCTTGTCTCCGTGCGCGATCCACACTGAGGCTGCCAGCGCAGTCACCATGTAACTGGAGTTGTACAGGATCTCGCTCCGAAACCCGGTGTCCGTCCTGCCTTGGCGTCCCCAAATTCGTTTTCAAAACACATCCTGCATGGATCTAAACCGCTACACTACAGTTGTGGATTGGACGGGCTTGTGGCGACGCATGTTAAAGCCGCGACATGCAAGCGGGGAGCTCCAGACCCGCACGGAACCATCCAACGATCCCGTAAGAAAGCGTGGTTTTGAAGAACCGTCACGCTCTGGCTGCTCTGCATGAACGGCGACCTTGCAGCGAAAGACTGAGTTTCGACCCGTTCTCTGTGCAGTACACCGATGCTTAATAGCTAACGGAAAATGTGTCCCTCTTTAAACACACCCTCGCCGCCCTCCCGACTACGCCTATGAAAGACTAAAGGGGCCAGCCCCCAGGGCCCTCCTCGAGAGGAGGCAACCCTGTCAATGGAGCATTCCTGGCGCGCCTCTTGTAACACTCTTGACTTGGATATCTTTGATCACACTCTTCGCAGAGCTTTCATGTGGAAGGTCTGGAAGAAACGAGCACTGTTTTGCGCTGCGCTAAAAGAAACGAATCGCAGTGTCGGTCCGCAGATGCGCCAAGCATAGTGCTGACCTCAACCGTATCAACGCCGTCGGCGATAGCAACTACATGGCGAACACAACGTACCATGAAGCGACAATAGCCTTATCACTCGCAGCCATGATTTTTTGAGAACGTTGCATTCCCACCATATACGCCCGGATTTTCCAAAGCCGGCACGCGCTCCAGACTAGAAGTGGAACGACCGCTACAAGCCAAAAACATCCGTTTCATTCCCGGCACCCTTGGGTCAAGGACATCCCAGAGCCTGTAAGCGGACTAAGCGGACTTGTCGGAACCACTCTCGATGATAGGAGTTCAAGAACTTCGCAGCTGGGACCTGTTCTCCCTCCCCCCGGTCATTGTTTATGACTTGCAACTCTTGTTCGCGACTCCTTGGAAGCACTGCGACTGCAAGAAACCCAATGTCCAAAGGCCCAGACTCTCCAAACCTCATCCTTGTGCTCATGCAGCATGTGCCTGCAAGAAGCATCGAGGGAGAAGTATCTACCGGTGCTTGAACTGGCTGAAGGCAGAACTGGGCCTCTCCCACAGAGCAGGCTCGCCAGTCATGTTCCAGGCATACCTTTGACTCGCTGGTTTAGGGTTTAGGGTTTAGGGTTTAGGGTTTAGGGTTTAGGGTTTAGGGTTTAGGGTGGGTTTAGGTTCTAGGGTTTAACTTTGGCCACTTTACAGAAGTCACGGTGGAAGGCCGGTTCGTGCTGGCAAGGCGAACAGAACTCGATGCATCGCACAACATACAGAAACCTGGTTTGCCGCAGAAAATTGACCGATCTCCACTGTCTCTAAAAAGCTCGAGGGTGCACTGACTTTGTCGAGCGGCCTTGTGATTCCCATGTCTACTTCGAAACCGTCAAAAAGCAGCATTAGAGCCCGACATGGGCAGACAGCATAAGAGAGACAAAAAGGTTAGGGTTTAGGGTTTAGGGTTCATAAGGGTTTCGGGTTTAAAGAGCCCTGCTACAAGCAACATCGGCAATCCCTGCTACACGCTGACTCGCACAACGTGCAAAAGATGTCAGTCATGATCATTCAACTTGGGTGTCGTGCGCAGCCTTGGCATGCTATGTGCAGCTTCGGTGCACCATGTGATCGAGCGCTGGAGCAATCAGCAGCTTGTGTCTCGGATCGGCGGCAATACCCCAGACCTCACTGCCAAACGCGATCAACACAAGAACACTCTTCGCACGCTCCTGCGCCTCCGCCTGCACCCAGCTGACAGCTTCCCAGGGATCCGGCCATGCCACCGACCGGCTCGGAGAAAACCATATCGCAATGGTAGGAGAAGGCATCCGGACTGGCGCTCGGCTTACCAGCTCCACCTCTCTCTTTGCTGCAGTTTCCAGGTTCAGCTTGGATATTTTTCTGCGCCGTATGCTTGCAATCGCTATGGTTGAGTATGGAGTCTACGCATTTTGAATCTTCGCCATCGCCAATTTGCGTATGGATTCTACGCATCTGTATCCTTACCATCGTCATTTGTCAGGACGGATCTCATCGTGTGCATCGGTCTCCTTCCATGTTTTTGTATGGGTTCCATGCATGTGTATCTTTGCCAGCGTGATTTTTGCATGGATTCTGACCATCTGCATCCTCGCCAAATCAAATCAATATATGTATGTGTGTAGATATATATATATGTACATATTGTATATGGAATATATGGAATCTACGCATCTGTTTCTTTGCCATCATGATTTTTAATCCGGGTTCTAAGCATACCTGCACACTCGAATGCCAAGCACGCGCTGTTACCCCAAGTCCCCTGCCGCCATCGCTGCGCAGCCACAATGCAGAGGCAACATAGCTCCGGAGTGTCCTGGACATCTAGCAATAGTATGCCTAATTGCAAAATACGCGCACGTGCACATGGAAGGTTGAGGTCAAATTGGGCAATGCCAAGCAAGTCATGTTCCAAAGTTCTTCTGCCTTCGGTTTCTGACCATCGCCACCACACCGCCATGGGCTCGTGCGAGTCAAGGGAAGAGTAAAGTAACGTGCGCGATGCTTCTGCTTATATGCCTCTGTCAATGCTGTTGCAGCTTGCGCTCGGAGTTCTGTTCCCTCAGCCCATGGCCCTTGAGTGTCACAGCAAGTTTTGCATGGTACACACAAGCTTTAACCATCCTCCACCACCTGCAAAGCAGAAACTCTCCTTTCAACACAGCAGAGGCCTCCGTGGGAAATTTGTGGAGCTCCATGTTCCACATGTCCCGGAGCAGGAGCTCCTTGGTGACCTGGGTTGATTTGCAGAAGCGCGGGAACTCTTGGCCGGCCCAGGACCCGGCCTCCAGTTGTTTGTCACAAAGCGTCACGAGTGCTGACCAATGTCTGGGCCTAGCAAGACTGACTTGGGAGCGCCACAGAAAACATGATTGTCCCGCGAACAGTTTGGTGCTGGCCTCATGGACGGGTCGGAAAGCTCGCCAACCAGAGGGCAGAAGATTACCCATCGCTTGATGACCTGTCGCAGGCTCTCGCACAAGACATCACCGCCACACAGACGCACACGCATGCACCCCGCCGAGACTTTGGAAACTGGTGTATTTCCGTACTGTGAACTCGCGGGTGCATGTGCGCAGTTCATCTTGGTTGGCCTCCTGCATGCCAACGTACACATCCAGCTTTTTGTCCACCTTGTACTCCTCAACTTCAAGCTTGAAGCATCTAGCGGCATCTAGCGGAGCTAGTACTGCATGGAGTCTCAAAATGGAAGAGGCAACTCACAGCGTGACTGACAGCATGAATGCCACAGAAAGTACACGCAGCCATGCCCCCTGGTGGGTGTTGTGCTTGTTGATCCACGGTCTCCTTGAGCTTCTTGAAGTTTGCCTTAACATCATCCTCCATCTGGAGTGCATCCACTGTGCCCCACCTCACTTGCTCACATTTGTGCTCAAGTACGGTGTGTTTTGGGTCCCCCTAACCATAAGGGCCCGGTATTTATCACTACAGGTACCCCAAAACCCCTCATTCAGGGACCTACCAAGCTGCATCTCACATCTTCGACCTACCCGGCCTCTTCACCAAATATGCCTCGGTCAGTCGGATCCTGCGAAGCCCAGCGTTCGGCACCAAAGGTTTCTAGGGTTTTTGGCTTAGGGTTTGAGGATGTTTGAGGGTTGTGTTTGCTCCGTAACTAATTTCCTGACTAAACTCATTGCTTCTTAATTGATTCCCTAAATCGTACCCCCTAAACCCTAGGGTCCATGGCCGTCCTCTCCACCTCGTGGTCCCAAAGCGACTTGATGAGCGCAACGTCCTTCTCCCAATCAACGGGGAAGCTTGCCACGACCAGCCGGTTGCCAAAAAGAAAAAGAATGTTGATTCCCACACAGGCAACGCAGAGCTCAACAATTCTCCGACCACCAAAAAAAGTCTCTAACCTTTGAGACGAGCACGCCTTCTCAATTCTGTCAGGCAGGCAATGCCTGTAATGCCTAATTGCGCAATCGTGTGGCAGGCTCAGGGCTCCCCTATAAGGTTCTTAAGCGGTTTTTAACCAGCCCCGCCTGACAATCTGTGGAATTCCTAAATCTTCTTCCCGAAAATGCCCTGCCATTCGGCCCCGCGGCCGATGGCTGCCACCGACTACCTGTTCCAGCACTGCCATCTGTACAGATCTCGCCTGCTTGACCCCTTGAAAGCCACACACCCTCGGCTCCTGGAAGGCATGTGGCCGAAGCTACAGCCAGCCCTACTGGGACACCCAAAGAAAGACCATCAAATCCTAGACCTCTCGACTCTTCCATATGCCAGCGGCATACCTTGACACTGAAGAGAGCGTAGCCACCCCCGTTTTCAACGGGCAGGGCACCACGTCCACATTAAGTCAGACACGGGGCTTGAGGAGCTGTAGAAATAACAACAATATAATGGTATTCACAGTAATAATCATAGTAATTATACTAATAGTACTACTAAGAATAATTCTAATAGCAATAATAATTTCGATTCAACTCTCTCCTGTATTGACTCTTCAAGCCCAAATCATCCGTTTGTAAGCAGGCAAGTTTGGCAGGCTGGAAACAGTGGCAGGTTCCACGTTCAACATATGAGAAACTGAGGGACCCACCCAGAAATCCTAACAAACGCCAGTTCGGCATTGACTTCATCAGAACGGAACTGGCCGCCCAAAATCAGGAACACTCAATTGCGCACCATGGGCACGTCCACCTGCTGGTGGTTGTTGGCGAATCATGCTTGATGGTGCATTTTTGGCTTGCAGATGCTTGCAGTTGAGCTGTCTCTAGTGTGTAGGTCTTGAGTTGCTCCACTGCTTCTTGCCATCACAGAGACGAATGTCACGCACGACGACGCATGTCACACGCGCCCTCCAAAACCAGGGACCCGGCCAGCCAGCTGGTTGCCAGCAAGCCGTAAGGATGCACCCGAGTTGGCTCCGGGCCGAAGAGACAGCGCAGGGCTGCCAATGGGGCCTCGGACCGCAAGGATGCACCCGATGTGAGCTGCAACGGCGCAGAGTCCCAAATGCTGTCTTCTCTGTGGAATATTGCGGAACCGTACTGTATGATCACGGCAATTACCTTTCAAAGGGGCCATAGTGTCGCGAGCTGCTCGATTACATCCCGCTCGAAGCATCTTAGCTTTGCTGAGGGCCCTGCGGGAGACGCCAGCGGCATGCAACAAAGGTGACGATGCGCTCTGCTGCATGCCAGCGCAGCTCGCTGCTGCGCCCTTGGGTCACAGCACTTGGCACTTGGTCCAACCCAACCCAAAGCCCGGAATGACTCTTTCTCTGTCCTACGCAACTTGGGTTTAGGATGGTTTAGGATTGCTGCTTTCGCGAAAAGCTGTGCCAGGTCCAAGAGCATCTGTTGCCAAGCAACACTGTGCCAACCGTCGCCCCTCGCAGAAGTCCGGCTGGAAAGCCCTGAAAACTTTGGAGGCAAAAACACACTGACGGTCGCTGGCCATGTCCGAAAGAGAACTATAGGTGTGCCTGAGCGAGCATCCTCCCAGTCCTCCAAGCGAATGGTCGAAGCCAGGTTTTGCTGACCTAGGACCAATCAGCGCCGCCAACGCTTTGGGGTTAAAGGAGTTTTTTTGGTTTTTTCTTTTTTTTGCGGGAGGGCGGGGGGCGGGGGGGGGGCGGGGGCTCAGCAGCATACCGCTCCTTGACCCCAAAGTCTGAGGAGTTCGGGCTTAGGGTTTCGGGATGCTTGGAGTTCAGCATTCAGCACCCCAAACCCTAAACCCTAAAAAAGACCCCAGGCCCTACGCCCTAAACGTGAAGTCGTCCAAATGCAGCTGCAGCGGCTGCTGAATGGAAAGCCGCCTGCTCTTTGACTCGCAGGCTGCCTCGATCTACCGTCCTGGTGTACGGCTTTTGCTTAATTTGAAGGGCTATGATATGATGTCTTGTTATAAGGGACATTTTGGTTAGAGATGTCCGTGTATATGTCAATGCTGCCAGCGTGAGAACGGCGGGTGGCGGGAGAGTCCAAGTGCAAGAGCTCCTGGGCGCAGCGAAAGCCCACCGGGGGCTGCCAGCCACACGGGGAATCGCCCCGAGCTCTCTGGGCCCCTGAGTCATGGCATGACCGCGACATATGAAGAAGGGCGGCTCCTTTCCCCCAAACTTCCCAGCTCAGCGCAGAAGATACTCGTGGGCTTTAAGGACTTTGGCGGCTTCACCCTCCCAAGTCGGCCGGGCAGCCAGATTCAGAATCCTCCACGTCCTCCAGTCTCAGCGTCGCCGCCAAGTCTATCCGGCCTGGCCGTTGCGCCCCCCCAGGGCCGATCAGCAGACGCGATTCAGGAGATTCGGGATATTTCAAGGGGTTCATTCAGGAGACTCAAGACCAACTCCCCATCCCGACCTTTCAAGTTCGAGGAGAATCTAGATTGGCTGGTCATGTCCAAAGGCGGAGAAGGTCCGGAGAAGGCCGCCTGCCACACGATGCCGCAGGGGAAGAAAACTGCTCAGCTCGGCTGCCCATGTCCCGTGGAATCAAAAAAAACATTCAGGTTGTCAGAGCTTTCACGGTCTAGCCTCGGGCTGCCCCATCAGCAACGCTTTCGCAGACACCATCTGATGCCTCGTGGCCGCTGCCTGAAAATGCTCAGAGTCGGATGCGGAACTCAAGATCAGGCTGAGGTCAACCTGCCTGGGGCCTCTCCTTCTGCGGACTGACGGAGTCCACAGCAGCTCGCCCTCTGCAGAGCTTCTCCTTGTATACTTCTGGGCAAATCCCAAGATGCCTTTCCTTACTTTAAAGCCGAACAGCAAGGAGCCTCCATGGCCATGCCTGCAGGAAGGTGGCCAGAGTCCTGCGAACTTGCTTGAAAACCCTTTTGCGGGCCTTAAGGCAACACGACTAGATACTGGAGGTACGCAAAGCTGCCGGCAAATGACAAGCTGCACTGGAGGAATCTTCAAAATCCGAAGAAAGTGACTCTACACCCCTACATGAGGAGTCAGGAAAATGAAAGTCCACTCCACCACAACCCTCGGGGCCACGAGTGGTGACAATCATAGGATCTAGCGCTGTCTGCGCTAGGTCGGCCAGGTGCAAGATGGTGAATATCGATGCAACATGCGGTGCAGGTCCTGTATGTGCGGCGGCAGCTGCGGAATCGAGTCACTTCGAACCGGCGCTCGCCGCCTCTTCGGTGAATCTGCCGGTGACCTCGGCACAGTCCCAGATGAGAATGCTGAGGTCGCATCGCATGGCCACCATAAGACTAAGCTCTACTAAGTGTCTGGCTGTCCGGAGGTCAGTAGTTCACCAAGCACCGCATCCAAGGAAGAGCTCCAGTCCTAGCAGGCTTTTGAAGGTGAGGATGCCAAGCAAACCCTATAAGAGGCGGTGCTGCCTTCTGGGATGGCACGCGGCGATGAAAGCCTAGTGGCGAAGGAAATCGGAGATCGCCCCACCTTGAAGGCACTTGAAGGGAAGGCACATTCTGCAGCCTTTGGGCCCAAAGCGTCCGGAACCCCCCGGGTTTTGCGAGCTCTGTGTGCAACGTTCCCGCTGTCATCTTCAAAAGCCCATCTTGCAGCAAGCGGCTCGTTCACCTTGTCCTGCCCAGGAGTCATCGCAGACTTTGGGAACGACATGGAACGACACTAGTAGCAAGTCGGAAGGATCATGCCTCGGTCATGCCTAGTGGGCCTAGTACATTCCAGTATTTCCGGGACTGTTGCTGGCTAAAATTCCGGGGGAATCGGGTGCATTCGAGACATCTGGAAACACTTGACCTTAGCTTCTTAAGATGTGTGACGCAATGCCCTGGTATGACGTTGGCAGAGAAGACACAAGCCTCTTGTGCAGATTATAAGGAACCAGGCTTGCCTCGGACTCACCGACTGGAGCTGAGCTTTGTGGCTGGGCCGAACGCTTCCTGGGGCAAGATGCGGTGACTGCAAACCCCTCAATGCAGTGTCTACAGCGATGGCCTGCAACAATAAGGCTATGAAGCTAACTAGCACTTGCTGAAACCGCCACCTATGGAATTTACTGCGCGACATGCTGCCACACTGCGTATGCCAGTGTATGCCAAGGTATGAGCAGCAACACGCCTAGTGCTGACAAAGAAGCGACCTTGAGCGGCCTTCACGCTCAGTGGCTGGATCTCCTCT